GGCACTCCTGTTAAGAGGAAGCTTGTTATTCTTTTCTCCCCCCTCCTTAAATTTATTTACTTATGGCTGCTTTGGGTCTTCGTTGCTGCACACCGGCTTTCTCTAGTTGCAGCAAGCGAGGGCTACTCTTCGTTGAGGAGCACGGGCTCTAGGCACCCGGGCTTCAGTAGTTGCAGCACATGGGCTCAGTAGTTGTGGCTCGCGGGCTCTAGAGCGCAGGCTCAGTAGTGTGGTGCACGGGCTTAGTTGCTCCGCGGCATGTCAGATCTTCCTGGACTGGGGAGTGAACCCACGTCCCCTGCATTGGCAGGTGGATTCTTAACCACTGCGCAGCTTGTTATTCTTGAAATTTGAAGCTCACATTTGAATAACAAGCACCACAGAAAAAATCTGAGTTGTTTTTGTTTTTACTAATGTCTCAGGAAAATACTTACATTCACAAGGAATTCTGCAAAGATTTCTGCAGAACAAGCTCTGCCTTTACATTTTTTACCAACGAAGAGTCCTAGAGACAGTAATAAAACATTTGATAAATATGTGCTGTTGTATTTTCTGGCAGTCGTGCAAGTTAGAATGAATCTGTCGCAGCCTTGAGTTATTATTATTATTGCCACTTTTTATTGCTGCATTAATCACCACACATACTGTGAGAGATTGATGAAGTTAATTGTTTTTATAAACTAGATTAAATGAAGTGCTAATGTGGGGTGACTGGTTTTGGACGTGTGTACTTACGTCAACAGAGAAGTGGACAGGCTCCCTGCGAGCTTTCCGAGATGTGATTATTTCGAACGTCACCTTGATGTTCATCCTCCATTCCTTTTGTAGTGAGTTGTACACTCTTTTTACTGTTAGCCAGTTTATAGAACACACCTGGGATTTATAGTTTTAAGGCTTTTGTGTCTACCAGGTCGAAATGATTCAGAGATCATTTTTAAATGGGCGTCTGTATTAGTTTGCTAAGGCTGCTATAACAAAATACCACAGACTGGGTGGTTTCAACAACAGAAATTTATTTTCTCACCGTTCTGGAGGCCAGAAGTCCAAGATCAAGGTGCTGGCAGGTGTCGTTTCTCCTGAGGCCTCTCTCCTTGGCTTGCAGATGGCCGCCTTCTCACTGCGTCCTGACGTGGCCTTTCCTCTGAACATGCGCCTCCCTGGTGTCTCTTCCTCTTCTGATAAGAGCATCAGTCCTATCAGATTAGGGCCCCCCCATAACAGCCTAATTTTAACTTAATTGCCTCTCTAGAGGCCCTGTCTCCAAATCCAGTCAGGTCTGAAATTCTGGAGACTAGGGCTCCAACCTGTGAATTTAGGGAGATCACAGTTCAGCTCATAACAGCACCTTTAATCAGTTTCTCATGGGCATGGGATAAGGGTGGGATAAATGGGAGAGGAAAAGGAATTTTTAAAAAATTTAGTGGGACAGTTCTTCTAGCCTCCTCTTTTGGCCAAAAACATTCATAATCTTATATTTCAAGAGAGTGAGTAGATAATTATCTTAAGTATATTACAGAATTTTATTTTCAGTCTCCATTTCTTAAGGTTTGGCAGGCTGCATAACCTGGGCAATCTTGATAAGCCACCTGCAAATGGTATTTTTGTTTTCTTATTTATTTATTTTTTTAATTTGAACCCAAAGTGAGGGAAATCTGTAGGAATCACACCCAGAAAAGTAGCTAAATTCAGAACAGTTAGCCTGAACCTTGGGCCCACGTGAGGCAGGAAGTGACCTGGTGTCTCTTCCTCTTTTTATAAGAGCACCAGTCATACTGGATTAGGGCCCCATCCCTATGGCCTCATTTAACCCAAGACCCCAGCTGAAAGCTGGTGCTCAGAGGCCAAACTCATGGAGAAAGGGTACAGGAAAAAAACTGTGTCCAGCAACACAGTGGGGTGGTGGGGAAGCTGGTATGTTTCAGCCTGGCCTCTGGATGGCAAACAGGCTCCTGGAGAATTTGAAACTGCAGGCCTGCCTTTACATGGGCAATGAGTTCAAATTTACAGTTTGGCCATTCCTGTTCTCAGTTAATGTAAAAAGGATTTCCAGGTTTGACAGAAGCGTGTACAGCAACTCTCCAAAGGGATGCTGCCTGCACCCCACACCCCAGAGGATCCCCACAGATAAAGGCTTACTGAAGACAAGCCCATGGCCCACACTCACCCCAAACAAGAGCCAGAATCAGAGAAAAACGAACAGTGAATGCGCCTCCCGAGGACCTCAGATAATAAAATCATTAGATATACAACCATAAGACAAGTATGCCTAAAATGATTAAATACATAAAAGAATTAAAAACACGAGATATGAGTAATGCACTATCAAATAAAGAACAGACAGATTTGAGGGGGGAAAGGCTCTAGAAATGAAAAATAAAAATGATTGGAATAAAAATTGGTCAGGATAAAAGCAGATTTTTGAGAGAATTACTGGACAGGGTTATATTTCCTTTTTAACAAAGTAAATGTCCCCTCCCCACTGAAAAGAAGTGATGGGAGATTCTCATTCCAAAACCAGACCAGCAGACGCATCGTTAAACACGGTCCTTTATTTCACATGCCCTCTACTTTGCCTTCCTCCGATGGACTGCAGCTGGGTACTGCTGGCCGTGCAACAGGCATTGTTAGCTTCCTGAATCCTCCCAGGGAAATTGAAGACTAATAAACCCGAAGTGTATAAGCCTCAGGGTGTTTCACATTCTCCTTCCTGTCCGCAGCATCATAAAGAAACCAGTCCTGGGCTTTCATAATTCAGCAGGGTCCAACGTAATTTGAAACACCGGAGGATGTGGCCTGGCAAGCTGGTTGTACTGTGTGGTCAGAGCAGGGCTGTGGCGGAACATAGAGTGGCTATCCTGAGGAGGGAGGGTGAATACCCTGAGCCCCACACCCGAACGTGGGGCCAATGAGCTCCGTTAATACACTCTACTTTCTGTCAAGTGCCAGGAAGCTGCTGAGCACCTCTATCTTCGTCCCTTTGGGCTGCTATAACTGAATACCACAGACTGGGTGGCTTATAAACAACAGACATTCTCACTGTTCTGAAGGCCAGAAGTCCAAGGTCAGGACACCAGCAGATTCGGTGTCTGGTGATGTCCTGCTTCTTAGTTCACAGACGGCTGTATGCTCTGTCCTCACCTGGCAGAAAGGGTGAGGGAGCTCTCTGGGGTCTCTGTAAGGGCACTAATCCCATTCATGAGGGCTCCACCCTCATGACCTAACCACCTTCCAAAGTCCCCACCTCCAAGCAGCATCACTTTGGGAGTTAAGATTCAACAGCCTCTCTTCTCATCTAAACTTCTCCATCTTAGGACGTGGCTCTTACCCCTTTCTGGAGATGAAGCATTGAGGTTTTGAGTGGCTGACTAATCTAAGACCACATAGCTGAGTACATGGAGGGACTTGCTGACCCTAAAACACGCACAGGCGACTGCCATGTGGGGCTGGCTTTTTGGATATAAGGCCAGCATTTCCATACTTTATCCCATGGAACACTAGAGTCCTGAAGAATGATAACTAGCATTACCTGGGGGAGGAGTTCTGTGGTGAAATACACTTGGGAAAGATGGCACATTATATGCCCCATATAAAGCTTACAGTGCACAGTAAAGGCAGAAGATCTGTCTTGAGGAAACACATTTAATTTGTTCAACCTCGCATTTCCCACACTTCATAGATCCTAGAATCCCCACTTCTGTTGTCATGTTTTTCTCTTGCAAAACATCATTAACATATTAGCCATTAAGGGAATACAAATCAAACTACAATAAGACACCACTTCACACCCACTAGAATAACTATAAAAAGATAGACAATAACAAGAGTTGGCGAGCATGTGCAGAAATTGGAACCCCTACTGGCTGGAATGTAAACAGTTCCATGGCTTTGGAAAGCATCTGGGGTTCCTTCAAAAGGGTAAATATGGGGTTACCATGTGACCCAGCTATTCCATTCCTACATATGTACCAAGGAAATGAAGGTACATGTCCATGTGTCCACACAAAAACTTGTACATACACAGTTGTTTATATCTGCATTATTCACAGTAGCCAAAAAGTGGAAACAATGCAAATGACCACCACAGATGAATGGATGACAAAATGTGGTCCACCATGGTGTGCCGTGGAGTATGATTTAGCCATGAAAACGAGTGAGGTACTGACATGGGCTGTGACATGGATGGACCTTGGAAGCATTATGCTAAGTGAAAAAGCCTGTCACCAAAGACTGTGTATTTTATGATTCTGTTTATGTCAAATGTCTAGAAGAGGCAGATGCAGGTGACTGGTTGCTAGGAGCTGGGGGAGAGGAGGGATTGGAGAGTGACCGGTGATGGGTTTCTGTTTAGGGTGATGAACACGTTTGAAAAGGATCATGTGCAACTCTGAATACACTCCAAACCAGAGAACTGTACACTCTAAATGGGTGGATTATATTGTATGTGAATTATATGTCACTAAGGCTGTTTTTAAAAACCAAATAAACTTCTGCCAACTCTAGGGTTTCACAGCACAGTTTGGGAAAGGTTGCCACCGGAGTGGACTCTGGCTGTGTGCACAGCAGCTGTCCTGTGTCACCTGTGGCTGTATCGCCCCTTTGAAAGCACCCTCGGCATTTGAGAAAATACTACAGGCAGGGATTAAGTGGGTTTTTTTTTTGCATCGAGAAGCTGAGTGTAACCGAAAGCAAGCAGCCACTGTGTCCACACGGTTTATACTCTGGTTGCACTACTGCTCTTACCAAGTACTTGAAAGGAGACCAGACAAACAAAGGAGGCTTGGAAACTTTCTAAGTGGATCTGAAGTAAGAGACAGTGTTGAGGGTCACATCATATTGCATCTCCCTCTGACAGCCTTAACCTCTGCGGTTAATCCCTGTCGCCGCCAGCTGATCTGGACTAACCTGGGGCCATGGGACAAACACACACCCTTGAGCTCATTCCCCTGCCGTCCGGTGGTTCCGTGTCCACACTGATCATTCCCTCTTTGTCTTCACCGCAGTAAAAGCCGGTGGGATGCGAATTGTGCAGAAACACCCGCATGCTGGAGACACCAGAGAAGAGAAGGACAAAGACGACCAGGAGTGGGAAAGCCCCAGGTAGGAGCGTTCTGGCGAACCTTGAGATGTCTCACGAATCCCCGTTACTCAGTTAAACGTTAATGTTTGTTCTCTGCTCCGTGCTTCTGATAACCCCTGGGCTTTGTGGGCCCTGTGCTGTATGCTTTTCCTCTCCTGAGCAGTGAGGCGGGGCTTGTGTTCCCAGATGGGAGAAACAGGGCATCGAGAGCACGCCCTCTGCCTGCATAAATCCGAGCGGGTGCATCTGTCTGTGGGCAGAAGCCCTGAACCTCCACTGCCAAACTACTAGTTGAATCTCTGGGCTGGGCCTGGCATTCTGTGCAGTGAGGGCAGAGAACTACTGATTGGAATAATGTTTACAAACGTTAGGGCTTTGCCAGTTTCAGCCAAGCAGAATCACTGAGGCCACACCCTTATGAGTGACCGAGTGCCCTTAAACGACATCTCAGCCCCCAGCTTCCCGCGTCCCCGACAGCTCATCTTCCTACAACACAACCATCTCTGTTTACACCTGTCTTCCTTGGTGATTCTGATGTCAAGTTTGGTCCAACGACCTTGATACAAGTCCATTTCCTTCCGCCTTGTAACATACAAACATGCACCACCAATGCCCACCTGTCTGTGAGCTTGTCCATGTAAAGGAAAGTGGACACTAAGCTTTCTGCCTTATAACTCGCCCCCAGACAAGTCTCAGTCAGGGGAAAAGGAAGAGTGGAGGACAGCCAACCTGTGTTTCTGTACTTCATTCCAGCAGTCCTGAATAGCAGGTGGAACGCTCCCTGGGTTACACACGGGAGACTGAAGTCCACAGAGGCCATACGCTTGCCATGCCGAGCAGGAACTAAACCCAAGTCTGGGGTCCAGAGCAGGGCAGGCTTCCATAAGAGTAGCTGCTGACAGCACGCACCCCCTAAGAAGGACGTGCATGTGCTTGGTGATCCCACATGTCTGCTTACATATGTGCTGCCCCGTTGGGTATTTTCTATAAAACCTCATGTGATATGACTTACAGGGCAGTCACTGGAGGGGAGGACAAAATTTGAGGTGAAGTTTCTGAGTGATTATTGCCCATTTTAAATCATGAGATCAGCAACGGGAAGGTTCTGCCTAAGTTCTGGTTTTATAAAAGAAGAAGGTGGTTTAAAGAAAATTCTAGAATTTTCTTTCCACTGGCTATCTTCACAAAGCTGTGTTTGGCACGTAACATCAGGAATTCTCCTGCAGGTCCGTGGTCCTGTATCTGAAAACCTTGGAGCCTAATTTATTTCAGAATTGAGAAATTCTGATGTTTTAGGAGATGAAGCAGGTTTTAGGAGTATAGGACCATACACATTTCATACAGCACCCGTAGTGGGGTCTCGGGCAGCCTAATCTGTGTATGATGTTCGCACCAGCAGAGATGCATTTTAAAAATTTACAGACTTGGATCAGTCCAGGTTAAGTTTTGCCTGCATAAGAGTTGTAACAAAACTTTAGTTCAGTGTGTGAGAATATTCTTGGATTTGGAAGCAAATGTAAGAGCATGTGGCCTATAGTCATTTCCTCCTCTAGGAAACCCAGGATGTCACTTCCCTTCATACCCACTGGTTCCCTAAGAAGGAAGAGAGGATGAGACAGAGAGCCATGCCTGGAAAAAAATCCTGGAGAGTTAATGAAATGTGCATGAGTTTAAGTGGAATAAGGGACAAATAGCTATTTCTCTGCATAACACAGTGTCAATACAGTGACAGATGATAATTTATTAGCGTGTTTAGAAATAAGGACAGAATAGCCCATTAGTTTTCTTTCTATTGATTTTTTTCTCATGAGGTGAAATACAGCATTTATGGAAGATGTACAATTTAAATATATGTGCTAGAGGATGAACGATTGCACGAGAAAAGAGAGAGCACCCAGCTCTCTAGATTTTATCATCTTATCCACTTTGAAGGGTGGTTGGCATGAAGTGTTCTGAAGCAGGCGGACTGCAGGGCAGGGTTTGCATATGACCAAGAGTATGTTTGTTCCCTGCAGTCAAATTGTTGTACTGTGTTCCTCATGGTGTGTTAGCTCTTGTCCTCTGGACTTTGGCTTCTCTCTTTACTGCTGTGGGTTAAACCACCGGACACGCCATTGACAGAAGGGGTAAGCCCCTGCAGACTCTGAAGCTATTGGCATATGTTGCCAATACAATTTCTTCCAAGCCCCTACACCAGACCTGGTACTCTGTATAATAGGTCATTTCCATCACCATGCACTCCCCGTTTTTCTGGTGGGCTAATTGACTAGTCATAGTTAATAACGGTCATTGATAATGTTACAGGATGCAGCGAACCTGGCCCTGCTCTAAGTGCTCTGCCCGTGTTTATTCATTTGAACTACTTGCAACTGCTCTGTTCTCATCCCTCTGTGAGAGCTGGTTCTCGATTATTATCCTCATTCCAGGTTACTACTCCCACTTCAATGGCTCAGAGCGGTTAAGTGACTTTTCCAAGGGCACATGGCGAGTGAGTGGCAGAGCCAGCCTTCCAGAGTGGCAGCTGGGTCCGTAGTCCCCTACTCTTAGCCCCTGGGGTGTGTGTACCAACTGAGCACCCGTTTTGTGCTAGGCACTTACTAAGTGCTTCCCATTGGGTTTAGTGCACACACCACCCAAAAGTTGGTATTACTATGCCCATTACACAGACGAAGAAACCAAGGCCCAGTGAGGTTATCTGACCCAATGATATGTAGCCAGTCAGTGGTCTGGCCAGGATTCAGTCCTGACCCTGTCTTGACTTGGAAGCCTATGTCCTTAATAGGCTACAGAAGCCCCCTGAACTGACAAAATACTTTTAGGATCAACAGACTGTAAATCCAAATCCCTCTATAAAATAAACTTACTGATTCTGGGGTTGCCCATAACCTATTCCATATTCCTCAAGCCCATAATCCCACCTGTGCAGCCCTACCATCAGTAGATGGCCTAATTCCAGCTTACAACAGGGTTTCAGGGCACTGGGCTGGTTTTACTTTACATGTGGAAAGACCTCTTCATCTCCAGAATTTGTCAGACATTTAATGTTTTACATTAATTTCCCTTGGAAATGTCATGGCATGTGACTTCAACATTCATATTACCCTAATCCTAAAGTTCTGTATTTTTTCATGTTTTGATCCAAGTGTTCTCCAGATATGAAAATAAGTGCACAGTCTCAGATGCCAATTTCCTCCTTAGATCTGCATTTGCAAAACTCTTTGCTTTCCTTCCCAGATATTTAAAACTGGCTTTGTATTTACTGACTCATCTCTGGCGGCTTCCTTCCACAATCAGTAAATCAAGTACTGATTACAGAGAAAATGAACAACTGGAGCGTTAAAGAGGTTATTATGTGACCCAAAAAAACCCCCAAACACTTTTACTTGGAATCTTCTTTTGCAAGTCTTTATGTTACTCTTACTCCCCATAATCTGGTAATTTTTCAGATATAATAATAATTTCTTCTGCCACCAAATTGTTCTGAAATGCTCCATTTAAAAAAAGAAAAAATAATAATGTAGCACAAATTTGAAAATGTTTCCCAAGGATTCCATCAAGCTGAGTTCTAGTTACCTGTGGCTCTTCATATCCAGACAGAGTAAGAGACTTCATTGTTATGAGCTAATACTTTCCTGAGTGGCTGCTAGATATAGTCTCAGAACTGACCCACTCAAGGAAAGCTCTGATCTTCCTCAAAGCCTTCTGTTGAGCATATTAAGATGAAGTGCCCAGTTTCATTATGTAAAAGAGAAATTGCAGCATAGAATGGACTTCAATAGTCAGTAGGATTCACTAAAAAACAGTGTAGTGGTGAACATGTACTGAGGGCCTACCATGAATCGAGCTTGGTAAAAAAAATATTTTAAAAGGTAGGTGACAGGAAGAGTAAAGTAGAAATGGAAGGGTTTGTGTGTGGACTGGGGGTGGGTAGGAAAGGGGTGGAAGGAAGAGGGAAGTGGGGATGGGGCAATAAGGGTAGCAAGGGAGCAACCCTTCTCTGAGCTCGGCAGTTTGTACAGCTCTGACTCAGGGCTGTGGTGCTGTTTTGTGTTCACATACCCCCAAAATAAGCAAACAATTCCAATCATCCAGAATGTGGGAGAGATCCAAGATGGAACACACACAGTAACAGATGGACCTAATTGTAATACAAAGGCTACTATTACCAACTGAAAGGCGTGGGTGGGAGAGCGACCTAACCTAAGTACAATAATAGTATTTTGGGAAACAGTATTTTGACTGGGTACTATAAGGCTAAAGACAAGAAATGCAAAAAACTGTGCATAAATGCTACACTCCAGTTAGTAAATACGTCTTCAGGGCTTTGGGTTAGCAATTCTGAAATTGCTTTATGGGTATATTACAATTGAACAAGTAAGTAAATATCTTGTGGCTAATGAAGAGTCAGACTTCTCACTGTTAGAGAAAGAAGCTTACAAATAGGAAAGGGGGAAGACTAAAATGGCTTTGTGGTGTTTAATTGGAGTTGGAGGTATTAGTATGAACTCATAGTTTTAAATGGATGGATGGTTGGATGGATAGCAGATACATACAGACAGGTACATACATATATAAATAAATATACGTTGGGGAGGATTTGTGTACACACCTGTACCTCCCAGCTGTGTTCACTGACAGGGCATAAAAGAACTGGCACCATGTAGCCATGAGCATCCCTAGGGCCAGGATCTTGGTTTCTAAACACCATTCCCCAATCAAGTGAACTAGGGTGTTTTGGAGAAGTAGTTAATTCCAGGGCCAGGGCTGGAAAAATACCAGATGAGCCTGTAACAACTTGTAGTGCCAGAACATAAGGAAAATTCCAAAAAGGATGGGACGTGTCAAAACAACACAGAAGCCAACCTGAAGACACACCTAATGGCAAAGACGGAACAGTTTGTGATAAAATAAATAATGATAGTGTTGGAATATAACCCATAGAGTGAAATAGATATCCATGAGTCCATACTGATATAAATAAGTTGAATACATAAATGAGAAGGGACAGCTCTTCTTTATAGAAGAATTCCAATTAATATTGTTATAAGGAAGGCGAGAACTAGACTATCACCAATAGGCAAACAGCACAGTGGTTGTCAGCAGGATCCACGGACGGATACTACGACTAGTGGGCAAAAATTTAAGGAGAGACAGGATAATTTTACAGTGTCAGTTTCCTCCAATATATTTGTTAATTGCAAAACAAGGAATGTCTTTACATGGAGACCATGAAAAGGACGCTCTTTCACAGCATAAGCGCTGAAATAAGAAGGCAGAGAGTCACGGATATGCAGGCAGCCGGGCACCTGCATATCCGTGCCGATCATTTTTGTTGCCCTGTGCACGTCTGTGAATAACCGTGAAAGTGCCGCGAGTAATTGTTTCTCATCAAACTCTCACCTGCTTTTAGCCGTCACTGATAACTCCTGCCTGAAACAGTTATTACCAGATGCAGGCTCTGTTGCCATGGGGCTGCCGTCACAAATACCGCACACTGGGTGGCTTAAAATAACTGAACTGTATGGTCTCACAGATCTGGAGACTGGAACTCCAAGATCCAGGATTGGTTCCTTCACCGGCCATCTTTGGCATGCCTTGCCTTGTAGATGTGTCACCTTGATCTCTGTCTTCACATGGTCTTCTCCCTGTGTCACTTCACCTTCCCTCTGTATATGTCTGTCTCTGTGTCCAAATTTCCCCTTTTTGTAAGGACATCAGTCATATTTGATTAGGACCCACCCTAAAAGCTTCATTTTAACTCAGTTACTTCTGTAAGACCCTATTTCCGTAAAAGGTTAAATTCTGAGGTACTGGGGGTAAGGATTTCATATATTTGGGGGCGGGGAACAAGTCAGTGCCTAACGGATGTCAAATAGTAATCTATGGCCATTTTTAATGGTTCTCTCAGTTAAAGTTAATTCTGAAGATAAGAAACAGAAAATTGAAAATGCTGAAGTTAAAAGCCCGTATGCCTGGGAATTTTTATCTAAGCCATTATCTGCGTGTTTGAACTTGAACTAAACCATGTGGCTTGCGAGCCAATTTCAACATCATCCTTACTTTGCAACAATATCATCTTTTATATCCAAGCTAGTTGTCAGCTGCCTTTTAAAAGGGATGTATCTTTCTCCCTATGATGTGTGGAGATACCATTGGACTAGGAGTGCTGAGTGCCAGCCAGCTCCCAACTCCTGTGCTGTTCGGATGGCCTGTGTCGGCAGGCAGGACCCATGACGTGGCAGCAACAGTTGACCCGGGGGCTGGAGTGCCATGGGCCACAGACCCCTGCCCTCGGCCGAAGGCAGAGTCTCGATGTGGTGACATGAGTGACGTGGAATGTCCTTGTGAGGGGGGTAGCTGGTGTCACCTGCTTGTGGTACAGCCAGATCCTCAGAATAGAAAGCACAGGAGGAGGGATGTTATAGCAGCGTGAAATAGTGATGGACGGCCCTGTCTGCCTCGGTGAGGAAAACGGGGAGAGTCTAGTTGCTGTTCGGCAGCTCTCACTGTCAGGTTTGCCCACGTAGGGGCTGGATGTTTGAGATGAAGGTTTCAGCAGGACCTGCCCTCTCTGAAAGCAGTAGGGAAGGATCTGTTCCAGACCCGTCCCCTGGTTCCTTGGCTGGTGGTAACGTAACTCCAGTGTTCACATGGCATTCTTGCTGTGTGCGTGTCTGTGTCCAATGTCCCCTTTTCATAAGGATGCCAGTCATATGGGATCAGGGCCCACCCTAATGACCTCACCTTAACTAATTATGCAACAACTCTATTTCCAAATAAGGTCACATTCTGAGGTACTGGAAGTTAGGGCTTTAACATAAGAAACTTGGGTGAAGGGTAGGGACACAATTCAAGCCATAACAAGCAGGCAGCGCCTCAATGCCACGAGGCATCGGTGGGTGGTGCCCAGCTCCAGTGACATCCCAACAGCAATGGTGGCTCAATAACTTGTGAACCGTGAGACCTACGTGGCAAGTGACTCTTGCTTCTGTGCGATCCATTATGGTTGCCCAGGCTGAGCACTGCAGCAGCCTGCCTTCCCGTCCAGGTGGATGCCTTGTACCAGGGGTGTGGCCCCAAACTTTGATCGTGCACTCCATCAATTTAAAAAAAACGCTTTTTGCCTGCACCCTCCATATGTATATATTCATTTTAAAATCATACATGCATATTTTGCTCCCATTATATACATTGTAAAAGGTATACAAAATGGATATTAATGTATTAGATCAAGGTGAAATAAGCAATATTTTACATGTCTTGCTAACCATTGACTTTTTATTATCATTAGCTAACATCTGAAGGTCCAAATACCCTCGAGGTAGTGTTTCTCATTAATGATTCCAATGTAAATCTAAATTTCTAATGTCTTTCCTGGTGATTTCAGGTTTTATGGAGAAGGGTGGCTTCCTGTCACGTCTGATTAGATCTTCGGCGTTTGTAATGCGGTTCATGAAATACCCGTGCCAGGGCAAGAAGCGAGAGCTCTTCTCTTATTATCGTTCACTTGTGCTTGTATTGGTGTTAACTTCAGCCTCTGGAGGATTTTTTTTGCAGGGATCTTTTGAAGCCACGTGTTCATTTTGTCACAGTTTGTTTAAATTCATTCACTACACATTTGAGCACAGATCTAGGTGCTGGGGATATATCAGAGATAGAGCTAGAGAATTTAATGCATGAGCCCATTAACCAGACAGTGTCCCATATATGTGGCAAAGGAAGGGGCGCAGGGACCTGTGGGTGGTGACCCCCCTCCTTCCTCCAAAGCCTTAAGGGCCATGAGGCTGGGCGATGGACAGTCAGCCTGCAGACTGTAGTAAATAGTGGTAAAGCTTAGTTCGTTGGGTTTTGGTTCTTTACGTAAAAGATATATGCAAATAGAAAAATCTGCACGTTTATCTCACTTTCCCAGTGATGCCCTGGCCTTCTGAAGCGCAAGGACTGCCTTCCTCGCTGATTGATGGGCGGTGGCTCCAATACCAGTTCTGTGGTTGTACGTAGTATAAATTAAACGTGTCTTCCAAAACCTGTGGCTATCTGTATTTTAGTATGATCAATAGCAGCGCAACTGTGTACATGAAGAAGTTTTGCCCAGAATTGTCCAGTGAACACAGAGCAGCTGGTGTGGGACGCAGATAATTTGTGTCCCAGGAGTCGTGGGCAATGGCGTTGACAGGAACTCGGTGTCTGAGCTCCCCTTTCACGTAGATGGGCCCCAAGGAAGACTGGGGTCTGGCAGGTAGTGAATCAAAACCTCACCGTGCCACAGAGGGAGGAAGAACATGGGCATCCCTGTGTCACGGGAGCCTGGCTGGACTCCACCAGGGTGAGGATGAGAAGGAAAGTACGGAAGGCTCGGCTGCCCTCCAGCGCCGGGTGCTGTTGGTCACGGGCTCAGAGGCAGTATTCGCTCAACCTCAGGTTCTGTAACGGATGCGGAAATGGGGTGTGATTGATGAGCTTCAGAGCATCCCGTTCCCGGTTCCTCCCCCTCCACAGACGTCCAGCCTCGTTATGAGACTGCCACGCTCCCCGCCACCTTTTATCAGATAGAAAGAGGGAAGAAAGGAAATGGCGCAATCAGTTTTCCTCTCCAGGCACAGCCCTGTTCATCTGTACTGGAGTCAGCCTCTTGGAACAGATCACTCTTTCGTGTTCACGGTGTTCCTCAAAGGTTGTGCTGTTTATCAGGAAGTTGTTTCCTTATTACATAAACGTAGAAACTGAATTTAAATCAACTCTCCAGCAGTTGGATTTTACAGGATGCAATATGTAAGGAGAACTACCTAGAATAATGCTGCGTAGAAGAATTACTGCATAGAAACAAGAGCCCTTTATTGAGTTTATTACATTACAATTACTATTCCTGAAATTTTCAAACCCTCTACTTAAATAAACTCCCTTGACTTAAACTGGGTCAGAATGCATAGCGCTCAGAAAATACTTAGTGAATCAGTAATAATTAGCTTAGAATTTGATTCTTTAGAGGTATGTTGTTAATTAACTTATTAACTTGATTACTTCTTATTTTCCGGCTGGTGAAAGAGGTGAGCTAGGTAAGGCCAGTGTTGAGGATGAAAATTCTTCATCCTCGTGGGCATATTCTGTTGAGCCCTCAGCTCGCTCTAGGGAAGATATTGACTTTGATTTCTGGTTGTGCACATCCTTAGGGGCAGAGATATACTCATTAACGTGGACTAGAGTCATGAGGATGGCATTATACTCAAGAAATCCTCACAGAACCATTGGATTTAGAGCTGGACGTACCTGAGAGGTCACCTAATCCAGGTGTTCCCAGGTGGAGCTCTTGAGAAGTAAGATGGCAGATTTCACTCAAGATCTCGAAGGGTCTAGATACCATGAGCAAAACACCTATTAGGTAGAGATCAACAGAGATTTTTACGTTAAAAAGAAGCCCTTGCCCACTTATGGGTATATATCCAAAAGAATTGAAAGCAATGTCTCCAAGAGTTATTTGCACACCCATGTTTATGGCAGCATTATCTACAACAGCCAAGAGGTGGAAGCAACCCAAACGTCCATTGATGGATGAATGGATAAACACAGTGCTTGTGGTATATACATACAATGGAATACTATGCAGCCTTAGAAAGGAAGGAAATCCTGTCACTGCTACAACATGGATGAACCTTATGCTAATTGAAACAAGCGAGTCACAAAAGGACAAATATTATATGATTCTACTTATACACATAAATATACTTAACACTACTGAACCGTACACTTTAAAATGGTTATGATGCTAAATTTTATGATATGCATTTTTTACCACAATAAAAAAAATTTTTTTTTAAGAAACAAAAGAAGCCCTGCTGCTGAGGAAAGTAGTTTCTGGCTCCTCAAAAGGTAAACACGGCACTACCGTGAGCCCCAGCAGTTCTGTTCCCAGGTGTGTATCTAAAAGAATTGAATACAGAAGTTCATACAAAAACTGTACGTGAATTTATCACATCGTTATTCACAATAGCCAAAAAGTGGAAACAACCAAACACTGCCATATATACCATATGGTATACCCATATGGGTATATGGGTATATAATAATAATGGGAATATTATAATGGGAATATATGGGAATAATATAGTGCAATATTATTCAGCCATAAAAAAAGGAAGTGCGGATGCATGTTATGACATTGGATGAACCTTGAAAACATGATGCTAAGTGTAAGAAGCCAGACACAAAAGACCACACATGCTATGATGTCATGTATACGACATGTCCAGAATAAGCGAATCCAAGGAGAAGATTCCATGCAGATTACGTATAGCAGATTCCTGGTTGCCAAGGAGCCGGGCAGAATAGGGAGTGACTGCTTACTGGGTCTGGGCTTTTGTTTTGGGAGGGAAGTATTCTGAAATTAGATAGAAGTAATGGTTGTGTAACAAAGTCAATGTTAAAAGAGCCACCAAATTATATTTTTAAGTGGTTAAAATGGTGAATTTTATGATGTGTGAATGTTACCTCAGGTTAAAGAAAAAAAAAAAGAAGTCCTCAGGCACTAAAGGTTGGCAACCATGGCTGTAATCCAGCCCCCACATTTTCATAGCTGGGGAAGCAGATGCACACTGAAATGACTTTCTGGAGGGCCATGGCTGCAGTACTCGAGGACAGCAGGACCACTCGGGGAGGTGAGGAGAGAGACATTAGTTGGATGCCATCCACTGCCAACAGCAGATGACCCCGGCGCAGATGGGCCCAGGCATCAGGGACATGCGCTGTCTCCCATGCAGAAGGCCCAGAGTAGGTCTGGCTGCAGGGGAGGGAGGTGGGTCTTCCTTCCAGGACGGCCCTGCCCCACTGGTGTCTCTGGCTGGTCCTGCAGCAGCTTCCTCCGGTGGTGGGTTAACCACAGCAGGTCCCGTCTTCACATACCGATGTATGGTACCCAGAGGAGGAAACGGGCATCTCTTCTTGCCTCCTTTTTAGGAGAAAGAAAAGCTTTGCCAGAAGCCCCCTAGCAAACTCATTGGCCAGAACTGGGTCCCGGGACTCTTCCTAACTCGTACCCTGTGGTTTGCAGTAACGTGCATGTGTGCACGTCGAAAAGTCAGGCGCAAAGACCAGTACCCTGGGTCATGCGCGTCGTCCATGGAGGGTTCCTGGAGCTGGGGAAGGGGTGTGGGAGGCCCCAGGTCTACACAGGAGAGGAGGGAAGTCCAGGGAGGACAGTGGAAGCAGAGCAGAGGTCGGAACCTCAGCCTACAGCCTAGGGAACAAGGTTTGGGAACCGTAGGGTCTCAATTCAGAGCAGGGTCTGAATTAAGAGCTGGCACCTAGCCAACGCTACAGAAAGGTTCCCCTCCCAAGGGCACTCACAGACTCCCCACAGAGTGCATGTTTGAACCCATACCCATTTAGGATGAAAAACTGAGGGATTTGTAAGTTAGGCCAAATCCTCTTAAAGGTTATTCCCTGTTGACACCATCAAAACTGACCAAAGACCACTGGTTCAGTTTCTAGAATTGCACCGTGCCCAGTTCTTCTCCATCTTTATGGGACAAAGTGTTTTTGCGCCTCAGTGTTTTTCCACATGGCAGCCTTTAGTGATTTCCCAGGGTGAACACCTCCATGTCCCCCCTGCTCGAGGCTTTTCATTTACTTCCCCCGCCTCTGTAAGCACCTACTGTGTGCTGGCCCCATGCTCTACAGCTGGGACATGTTAGTGAACAAAACGAAACCCCTCTTCTCACAGAGCTTACGATCAGGTGTGGGCACCAGATTCACAGGTAGGCAATTGGATATATGTGTGGCAAGTAGTGGGAAGGTTCTTCATCTCCTAGGAGAACTACACAGGGAGGAAGCCAGCCGAATGTTCTTCACCTCTGTTAACACAGCCAAGGCCCCTGGGAATGAGGTGGCCTGAGGCAGTCACGGGAGGGGATGGGGTAGAGAGGAAATGAGGACGGCTGCTGGTGCCACAGTCCTAGGACACAGCTGTCAGTGTCCTGAGCCCATGAGTGTCACACATTAGCTGATCACCCAGATCACTGACCACTTTTGCTCCACCGTTGACATCTCTTTTCTGCAAAGGTGAGTTTTCTGCTAAGGGGAAGCGAGAATAGGATCTTGGTGGAAATGGCTTCAAGAATAGTGGTCAAGCCTGAGGCTAAGCATTTTGCAAATAGAGTACAATCATTGTGGGCTGTTTGGTCTGCTGGTGGGAGATGGCTGGCAGCTGCCTCCCGGGCGCTCGAGGTGGTGAGCAGAGCCTGGTGAGGGCACCCCGGAGCACTAGAGAAGGCTGTAATCATGGGCCCCCATGAATTTGTCCAGAAGTTGGACTGCTTCCACGAACTTTTTATTTTGGCTAACTTTGAACTTACGTAAGTCAAGACTTAAAAGATGAAAACTGGGTGTGGGGGGGTGAAGGTTCTAAATGACATCTGTTACGAGTTCCTTTGTAGCCGGGTCCCTCCGTGTGATGATAATGAGATTTAGAGCATCTTCGGCCAGGCTAACTAAATTTAGAGAAGTAATTGCTGTTTACCCTTCTGGGTGGCGTCATGGGAAGCATGAAAATGAAGGGACCGAAAGCCAAGATGACAGAGTAGAAACAGCCAAGTTGTGGTTTGGGTGCCCATTTTCAAAGATAGCAGTCGAGGATAATGTTTAAGTTTGATTATAGGAGCGCTAATTCGTTCCCTTTCTTTAACAACATTCCTTCCTACGGAAGAGCTTGACCTTTGCAGCTAAAGTTAACTTTGCCACATGTGGATTTAGTAGAAAGCTGACCAGATGGAGTAGTTTTGACAGTTTTTTTTTTTTAACTTAAATGTAGTTGATTTACAGCATTGTGTTAATTTCTGCTGTGCAGCAAAGTGAAAAGTGTCATTGGACTTTTGATAGTGTTGCGTTGAATCTGTGGATGACTTAGGGTAGTAGGAACATCTTAACAATATTAATTCATCCAATCCATGAACACAGGGTATCTTTCTATTATTTATGTCTTCTTCCATTTCTTTCATCAATATTTTATAGTTTTCAGTGCACAGATCTTCTACCTACTTGGTTCAAGTTATGCCTAAGTATTTTATTATTTTCAATTCTATTGCAAATGGGATTGTTTCTTTTGTTTCTTTTTCAGATAGTTCACTGTTATTGTATAAAAATGTAGCTGATTTCTGGGTGTGCTGGTTTTGTATCCTGCATCTTTACTGAATTACTTTATAAGTTCTAATCGTTTCTTGGTGGAGCCTTTAGGATTCACTAAGATCATATCTCTAAGCTGTTTCACTTCTTCCTTTCTGATTTAGATGCCTGTTATTTCTTTCTCTGGCCTAATTGTTCAGGCTAGGACTTCCAGCCTATGTTGAACAGAGGTTTTGAGAATGGGTATCCTTGCCTTGTTCCTGATCTTTGTGGGAAAGTTTTCAACTTTTCATCATTGAGTATATTAGTTGTGGGTTTGTCCCAAAAATCTGTGTCTTCTGTCCGTACAGACATGCAAGCATACACACACACACACACACACACTGTGGCTGAATGACTGGTTAGCTGACAAGTAAGGTAAAACCCACTTGCACCTCACCTGGGAATCTTGCCAAAATGCCCTGGTCTGGGGTGGGGCCTGAGACTGCATTTCTCCTCGGTTCCGGGGGTGAGGCTTGGGGCTTGGGGGGGTGCAGTGAGGGGAGGTGGCCTTGGTGCTGCACATTCCCACCACACTTTGAGCAGTGAGACTCCATCCCATTCTCTCTAATGCTAACAAAGTCCGTGTGCTTTTCAGAAATGTATCGACACTATTTAAAAGGTAGAAAATGTTATATAAATAATTTACCTTTTAGCTGTTCGTTAGTAATTATAACTTCCTAATTAACCAACATATTTATAAGTACTCCAGAGAGAAGGAGGCAGACGCTGTGAGAACTGTCCGTTGAGCAGAATTGAACCTTTTTTCTATGGGACTTGAATCTTTTGAGAAAGTATCTATCACTCAGCTGGTTGAGTTTATGATTGTGTCTCATCTTAATCGGGCCTCGGGGAATGAGAAGTTTAGATTGTCCCAGCTATCGAACAAGCAATTCAGCATCATTCAGAAGTCTAATAGCCAAAAAATGACAAATCCAAGCCACTGATAGACTAGGTGCTTTATGTACTTAGTCGTATTATGTCCTCCCATTCTGCAAGGAAGGTGGTGGATGCTTATTTTATGAGTGAGGAAATTTGCTCAGAAAGGCTAATGACATGCCCAAGGTCATTCTGATAGGAACTGACGGAAGTAGGATTTGAACCCAAATCTATGATTCCAAACACACGCAGCTATATTTAAAATGGATAACCAACAAGGACCTACTGGATAGCACCGGGAACTCTGCTCAATATTATGTAACCATCTAAATGGGAAAAGAATTTGAAAAAGAATAGATACATGTATATGTATAACTGAATCATTTTGCTGTACATCTGAAACTATCACAACATTGTTAATCAACTATACTCCAATGTAAAATAAAAAAGTTTTTAAAAAGTGTCCTTTTAAAAAAAAAAAAGTCCTTTACTATTATTAAAAGCAACAACAGAGACTTGCTGCTCTGCTGCCCGGCCCTTGTATTCTGGTCACCAGCCCTCTTTTCACAAGGAGTTGGAGAGAAATTATTGAAAAGAGAGCCTAAAATTCTACTTAGAGTTTTAAAGTCCGGAGATCTATTTTCAGCACTAGGATTGTATTAATAGATACCGGTTTCCAGCTAAGCTCATTTAAGATGGAAGAGATTCTGTGATTTTCCTTCCACCCCAGTTGTCAACGGGCTTTGCTGTTCCACAGGGTTCTGCTGAAGGAGCCCTACAGTGACCCGGGCCCCTCCCACAAGGGCACGTTCCCCCACCCCACCCCACCCCAGACGCGCCCCCTCGGCCTGAGTGACGTCAGCTGCTGCTCCAGCCGGAGCCCCAGAGCCCGGAAAACGACCATCCCCTTAGGAAGCGCCAGCCCCGAGTATGGGGGACACGGGGCCCAAGACTCAATTTAAGAAGCTCTGAGGTCCCCAAAGTCGGCTGCAAGGAAAGGAAATCAGAGCAGGAAAGTGCAAGTAAGAGGAAGTTGGCAGCAAGGTAACTAAATTGTTACCACTTTAAGTGGAAAAAAAAGAAAGAAGGGCTTAAATTGGAAGGGTGGTGTCACATGGACCCAAGACAAATACTGCTAAAGAATGGAAGTGTCTGTTTTCATTTTGCCAGAGATTCCAAATGTGATTATATGTAAACGAATGCAAACCCTTCCCACCTTCAGCAAGGGTGAAGGGTGGATTTCTAGGAGAAATGCCTTTGTTGCCTTTGTTGGGTCAGAGAGGAGCCTGAAGGGGAGAGAGGCTCAGGTCAGCAGGGTCGATGTGTTGCAGGAAAGAGAGCGGAGCGGAGCGCAAAAGGATGGTCACATCCCAGGTCTCAGGTGAGTGAGTCCCTGGGACAGCTGCCGAGTGTGGCTTCTTGGCTTCACGCAGGAAAGAATTCAAGGGCGAGCCATAGTAAAGTGAAAGAAGGTTTATGCAGGGAGATACACACTCCATAGACAGAGTGTGGGCCATCTCAGAAGGCAAGAGGCCCGGGGATAGCGGGGTTGTCAGTTTTTATAGGGGTGGGTAATTTCATAGGCTAATGAGCGAGCGAATTATTCCAGCTATTTTGGGGAAGGGGTGGGGATTTCCAGGAATTGGGCCAACACCCACTTTTTGACCTTTATGGTCAGCCTTGGAACTGTCATGGCACCCGTGGTGTGTCATTTAGCATGTTGATGTGCTACAGTGACGCGTACACCGAGGCTCAAGGTCTAGAGGAAGTCAGCTCGTCCGCCATCTTGGACCTAGTTGGTTCTAACTAGTTTATGTCATGTCCTCAACGGCTGTCTTTCTTTTAAAGTTTGTGCCCTGCCCCCTCCTGTCTCATATTGACCCCCTCCTCTCCTCCAGGGAGGATGAGGACATTCTACCCCGAGCATCTCTGGGCATTCAGAGCTCATGGCTTCGTGCCCAGATGGCTATCGTCCTGGATGAGAGGCACTGAAAACCCAGGCCTGGGGGTGAACACAAGGGCTCCTTAGGGGGACACAGAACCAGAAAAGAGAAATGTTTCTCCTTGAAGCGTGAGCTTGGCCCACTCAGGCCTTTCATCTGTTAGTTCATCTGTTGGTCTTCTCAGCTTCCTTTTTAATCCTAGACCACCCTTATGACCATGAAATCAAGCAGCTTAGGTACACGTCATCCTCAAGAACCAGCTTTCCGTGTCTGCCTGAAGGGTGTGTAAAGCAGCTTGGCCTGGGAAAGGCCCAGGCTGGGGGACGGAGCCGGCTCCATGAGTCCTGGCCCGTGGCCCCTGGCTGGTCCCAGGTAGAGTGCTAACCTTTGGGGCCTGTCCCCTCATCTGTAGCACTAGATTTGTAGACCAGTCTATTTCCCGAACAGAACTTTTATAGTGAAAACAGAATGAGGGCGATGAATATCTGCCCGCTTTGAAGAGAGCTAACAGCACAGCATGAATCGACAACAGTCTCACCTGGCTATGGCGATGCTGCTGCGTGGCGGGCACGCCCCTAGACTCAGGAGGAGATGAGAAAACATAAGTGTGTCCCTCCAGGAACTTGGGGAGACGGCTCAGTCCTCACTGAGCGCCTCTGCGTTTCTTCGGTGGGAGAGTAGTTCCTGGTAGGTGTTTGTACACCACGTCAGGCTTAAGCAGGATGAAACGTGCTGTGTTCTTAAGTCTTTTTAAAGGTTTTACTAAAAATTATTGTATGACATTTTTAAGGTAGCACAGGTGAAATGGACTCTGTGCTCAATGGCTCATTAAGCAAATCTCTCAGGTTTACTTTTGTGCTATATGTGCCTCTCTGCAGCCGAACGATGCACCCTTTGTATTTTAGTGTTTCTTCAAAAATCTTCCACATGGACGCCTGGCAGATGCACTCGACGGCACGCAGGCCCCTTAAGATGCGGGGCAAGATGGACGAGCCTCCTTTTCTTATATCCTCAGGAGCCCTGTCAACACTGCAGGTGTCATGACTCAGCGTAATGAGGATGAAGATCATGACATATAATAAAATGTAGAGCCAACTCAGACCAAGATTTTTAATAAGGCAGGAGCTTGGTTTCACACATTTCTTCTTCTGCTTTAGTATCTGGCCCAGAACCTGCAAAATAATCTCTCCTCGCAAAGTGCCATGTGGTAATTAGTGACTGTAGCATGCTGTCTTTTCCTTTGCTAAAAATGCCCCAAACTGTTTTGTTTTCTCTCTTGCCTGGGTATTCTTAATGATCGTTCCTATATGTGCCTCTGTTTCTCATCTGTTATTTCTCCCCAAGTGTCCCAAGGAAGTGGGCTTAACAATAGGCATGTTAGGATGAGCCCGAGGAGGTGAGTATTGTTTCCACAGCTCTGCAGCCACTGCATTGTTCTTACAAAGCATCAAGGTGGAATAGAACGACTCACTTGGAAGACCTCAGTTGGGCCAGCTGTACCACTACCTCATGCAACTCAAATTATATTTGTAGGATAGATACACACACACACACACATATGGGGAATTGAATTAATTTCCATGGTTTTTTACATTCATCTATTTTTTATCTAATGGGTTATGTTTTTTAAGTCTTTATTGGATTTGTTACAATGTTGCTTCTGTTTTGGGTTTTCGGTTTTTTTTTTTTTTTTTTTTTTTTTGGTTTTTTGGGCATGAGGCATGTGAGATCTTAGCTCCCCGACCAGAAATTGAACCCATACCCTTTGCATTGGAAGGTGAAGTCTTAACCACTGGACCACCAGGGAAGTCCCTCTAATGCACTATTAATATGGTATCTTCCCTCTTCTATCAGCTTAAAAGTTTGTTTTCGTAAGTACTGTTTTGGAAGGAGGAAACGGTTCCCTTTTTTTCTTTCGTAAACTGCTTACTCTTTAGAGGAGAGCATGATAGCAAGAAGAAGGTGAGGCCGCAGATATGTAAGGCATGTCTGTCTGTATTTCTTTGGCGTTGACATTTCACCAAGGGACGTGGCTCTGAAGGATGGCTGTCCCTTCTCATGGCCAGGACTTTGCGGCTGCAGCGGCCAGGAGCATAAAGACGTGTAAAGAGGGTTTTTCGGTACCTCGAACACTGAATGTCTCGCTGTGCAGCTTCTTTGATTGATATTCTGTGGGCTCCTTCCTAACTGCGTCCCTTAAAGAGTGGTCGGGAATAGTAATTTCCAGAAAGACTCTGTGTGAGGGTCCGTTGCTGGGTGGTGGGTGTGAGCTGGGAGGACCTCACTGTCAGTGGCTAAGCATCTTCATTTAGATGCCAACATTTTCCCCCAGATGGTTTTCCTTAGGATGACCGGGACATTCCGGGGCATCTGGACCTGGTGGGGGTCGGGAGGGGTGGGTGGCAGCCCGCAGCTGCCTCCCATGCCACAGGGACAAGGTATAGTTAGCAGCTGCTTGTAGGAGGGGTGGAGGGGTAGAGATGAGAAGATTTCTTCTGGCTGCTCACAATGTCTAGTCCAATGGGAGTTTGCTTGGCACCATTAATGTGTTCCTGAGAAATTCATCATAAATCAGTTTCCCCAATCAAATGTTCATTTCTTCCTGACATAACTTCAGAGTTTATTCACCCTTGTTTTCCCACTGAGTCTCCATTGATGGCACTCACTTCCTGCTTCTCCTCACGTCCTGTTCACCTCTGAAAACCGTAAATGATCGGTGAGCAGCCCTGGGACGCGGCGCTTCCTGAAATCGGTCCCAGCTGTTAGGGGAAAAGGGGCTACGCGGCTGTGAGCTGCCCGCCGAGCTGAGTGCTGTGGGAATTATAAACGCGTCCCCATTGATCCTTGCATCTCTGCCGGCGAAATTAAAAAACGGTGTTCATCTTTGCCAAATCCAGGCGTGCCGTATCATCAAGAGGCTTCTTGCCAGGTCCAATTTGGGATCATCAAATTAATTGTTACATGTGACAAGCTGACACATGAAGAAAGTGATAAATGCCTTGGTATAGCCTCCCTGTGAAAATTCCACGGTGAGGTTTCATGGCCCCGGGGCCCGGATGATGGATGAGGCAGGAGAGCTCCCCTTGCTCCAGTGGCTACTCATCTGTCTCCACGGCATCAGGAACATGCCCCCGTTGGCCTAAAAACCCTCATTAACCCGCGCCTTTCCCAAACTGTGTTAATTCTTCGCCTTCGTCTTTTGCTTCCTCCCCAGGTAAACTCTTGTGAATCACTTTTCAGGGGGGCTCTTCACTCCCTAGAAGTGACCCAGCAACTATTTCATGAGACCCCTGGCGGGGTCCTCAGGATCTGCCTGTTAAGTGGCCCAAAGGACAGGCAGATGACTGCCACTCGCCTGGGTTTCTCCAGGGTGGAGGATGCTGCTGTGAGAACCCGCAGGGGCGGGCTGCTACTGATGTTCCTTGGGGAGAGGGCGGGGCACGGCCCTTAGACTCAGCTACCTGAGTGACACCTGCAGGTGGGCGGACGCATCAGCAGCCTGTGGCCTGGGAAGTTACTCCCCGAGTTCTTTAGCGCCTTTCCCATCATGTCACGAATACTCTGTAGTACCAGATGCAGCAACATCCCTCCAAGGAGCAAACCCAGGGCATCAGGCTACCATATCTAAAGCTCTGCAGCATTCCACCTGTGGGTGGGTCCTCCCTTCTCTCACCTCTAAAAGTAGCAGCTCAGCAACTGTATTTCCCTCCACGGTGGGTGCTGGGAAGTTCACAGCCACATTTGAGGCTCAAACCATAGGAAGGACCTACATAGGAAATCCCTACTTTCCTAAGAGGAGCGCCTACACTCTGCCCATCTATGTTTCCTCGTTTTTCAAATGCTTTTGAATTTTTTCCTGTATATTTTTCCCGATTTTGTTTTTGTTTACTCCTTGTAATACAGGTTTTCTCACCATAAGAGGTATGAAATGCAGTTATCAAAATAGTACTTTAAACTATGCTATACTTATTTAGAGGTTTAATCACAAGATTTCATGATCACTGCTATCACTTTGTAGTGGTGGTGAATGTAAACTGTAGTTTGAGGTATCTGCAACAGCAGGAGCGTGACTAAGAGTTACAGGTTCGGCTGATACGACCGTGGCTTGTTGCCTGAGTTCGTAACAAAAGAGAATGAAGGGCTTCCCTGGTGGCGCAGTGGTTGAGAGTCCGCCTGCCGATGCGGGGGACACAGGTTCGTGCCCCGGTCCGGGAGGATCCCACGTGCCGCGGAGCAGCTGGGCCCGTGAGCCATGGCCGCTGAGCCTGCGCGTCCGGAGCCTGTGCTCCGCAACGGGAGAGGCCACAACAGTGAGAGGCCCGCGTACCACAAAAAAAAAAAAAGAGAATGAAAATAAAGATACAGGGTTTGGGTTTTGTTTGTTTTCCCCTAGCCCTAGTTCATGGGGGCCCTGATTTTTAGTTCTGGGACCCTTGGGTTAAGAGCCCTTGTCCTCTTCGAGCCATATTGTATCAAAACATATATGTCTAAACTTGTATAACAGGTTTCCTCTAATTTTCCATCACATCAGACAACTTTTCAAAGGTCTAGATTCCGGCATGATTTTCAGGGTCCTACACCCCACATGTACCTTCATTCAGTGTGGGAAGGGCCCTCAGCTTAGTGTAAGTGATTGGACAGCAAGTCTGCATCCCTGCCGGCCCTAAGCACCTTCTCCATTTTCAAATATAACAAAAACACCCCCAGGCAGACTGACGAGACTTCCTCTCACACCGTGCATGTTCCCTCAGCTCAGCCCTCAGACGCCTCTGTGCTGTTTGCCCTTCAGCGTCCAATCCAGAACCTGCGTGTCTTCCTGCCCTTGGTCCTCACCTCGGGTGTGGGGTGGGTGCCGACTGCTTGCCCAGCTCTGTGGTTCCTCAGGGAGCACCAAGCCTGCCCGCGGTTGCAGGGATAGCATCCTGGGGAGGTCTAGCCTCCTCTCGACCTCTACAGTGGAAAGGAGTTAGGGGCAGAAAACTTGGGTGTCAGTCTCAGCTTTGTGACCTGCTGCCTGTGTGGTGGTAGGAATATATCGTAATTCTTAGAACCTGGGCTTTTGGGGGTATAAAATGGGGGTAAAATAATAACCCCTCGCAGGGTGAAAAGACACCAGCTTTGTACAAGATACTGCTCATCGGGAAGCCAAGGGCTTCCTCAACCAGGGCTTCAGGGCTTCCCCGGCGCTGGTCCACAACTTTCCACTGCGCTACGTCGGTCTCTGGAGCCCCTGCTCTTTGTAACCTGTCATTGAAGGCCCTACCCAGCGTCATTCCATCCAACCTTCGCTGCAGACCCCAGGTCCCACACTTTTCAATGAATCCAGGCACGAGCAGAGAGCACACAGCGCCCAGCCCTCCTCCACACTTGTGCACTGCCGCACCTCCCATCTGGAAGGTTCTCTCAGCTCACCTCAAGGCCCCCCATAAGCTGCTCCCGCATTCCTGCAGCCCCCGGGGACTTCTCCCCTCTGCATTCCTTCTACACGTGCAGCTGCATGTGCCCCTGTATCACTTTGCTGGGGCTGCCGAACAAAGTGCCACGGACTGGGCGGCGTAGACCATGGAAATGTGTTTTCTCACAATTCTGGGAGCTGGAAGTCCAAGGTCAAGGTGTCGTCAGGGTGGATTTCTGAGGCCTCTTTCCTGGCCTTGTAGACAGCCATCTTCTCCTATGTCTTCACGTGATCTTCCCTCTGTTCGAATTCTCTCTCCTTGTGGACACACCAGTCATACTGGATTAGGGCACACCCACCCTAATCACCGCATTTTAATTTAATGACCTCTCTAGGACCCTGTCTCCAAATAAGGTCACATTCTGAGGTGCTGGGGGTTAGGACTTCAACATAGGAATTTGGGGGACACAATTCAGCCCGTAACAGCCCCTCACTTAGCACAGGGTCACCACCTGCCGGAGTCCTTCCCGGGCTGCCCGTGAGCTGTGTTTGCACCGAGATTGTCTCCGTTTGGGGGGAAGCACCATCTACTGTCCCTCTGAACCCCTGCGGTGCTTGAGGACTCACTCGGAGGGCAGTGTGATTTAGGGACCTCTGCCTGAATCAGCTGGTCTCGGTCTAGTCAGGGACACAGGGTGTATACACCTGTGGACAGGACGGTGAGAAACACCAGCTGAGTGAAACAGGAGACAAAGCACTGTAGGAGCTCAGAGGATTTTAAAGCCACAAGAGTGACACTCAAGGGGCCTGTGTGTCCTCAGAGCACCAGTCGGGAGGATTCCATTAGGATGCTCTTCTCAAACCATGGTAATCATGTCCCCAGCCACACCCCGTCCGGGGCTGGCCCTCGCTAGAGGACGGACACAGACGCGGCGCTTTGGCTTGGCAGGTGAAACTCTAATGGTTTCTAATGAAGGGAAAGGGTCAGGCCCACACCGGCTGGAGGCCGGCCATGCAGCCAGCTGGGAGCTGCCAGTCACTGTTGGCCACGTGGATTCCCCGGTCCTGCTCGTCCCTTGCGGTGTGCAGAAGGGCAGAATCCTCTGCTCTCCCCTCGTGC